GCTTGGGCTCCGAAAAACATGCTCCCGTAGAGACTGTCTGCTCCAGGAAAGTAGCCCACAAACGGCGACGCTGATCGTTTGGGCTCCATGCCTTGGTTCGGGAAGGGACACATAAGTGACGCTCCCCTCTCTCCCCCCCCCCCTCAGAACGTTAGCACCGCGTTCAGTGCTAACCATAAGTACCTTACTTGACGCAAACTAACAAGTACAGCAGATGAACTAGTAGTCTTAAGTAAGCCATTTCTCGTTGCGAATCAGGACGGGTCCTTATTTGATCAGGAGAAGCTACTGGTTTTCATGTTGAGGAGTTCCTTCAATAAAGTATAAAATAGTGTGAATTTCAGATCGGAGAACCGGGATCTCCCGGTCTACCAGGCACGAAAGGAGAAAAAGGAGCAGAGGGTTTGCCAGGCGTCAATGGTCAACCAGGACCACCGGGATGGCCAGGAATAAAGGGCGATGATGGCCTCAACGGACGGCCAGGTGGGAGTCGTTCTGTTCCCATGGGATTTATTATTGCTCTGAACGTGTTTCTCTGAAATTCAGAAATTTTCCGTGAATTTGACTTTCAGGATCTCCGGGTTTCCCAGGCAAGAAGGGTGAACCAGGTCAACCTGGAGTGCCTGGTAACCCGGGAATGATTGGAGAACGAGGATTAGCTGGAGCCCCTGGACCACAAGGAATGATGGGACCTATTGGACCACCAGGACAAATAGGTCTTCCTGGTCCTCGAGGACCAGAGGTGTGTCTATATGATATAACTGTGGTGAAGATACTCGCATAGCAGCAAATTATTCCCATATTCAGGGAACCCCCGGTCTACCAGGACAAAAAGGTGAAACCGGAAAGGACGGTCTTCCCGGTTTACCTGGTGAGTTTAGTCTTGGCTTGAAGTTCTATGTACATATTGCAATGAGCAAGTGCTCTCAGGTTGGCTCGTGAACGATAAGGGATACTGTATTTTGGCCTTGGGAAATTGCCCGCCGTCTTTCACCCAAATAGGAGCATATCAGGTTAGTCAATTCCGCGAAATCAATCTCTGCCACGGTTTTCAGTAAGAATCTGAAAATAAACTGAGGCATACTGAGACGTTTGGCCGCTCGCAGAAATTTCCCTGTTTCAGGCTCATGTCGATAATTATCGATTTGGCGACTATTCGTTGGTCAAATCGGCCGGCGTAGGTGGTAACGAGGAGCAGTTTGCATTGAAAAGTTCATGCATGCTGTCGATAAATATTTTTGTTTCTAAACTTTATTCAAAAGCTGATGGTGACTTCTTTTTTTAGAGACTTTTATTGATGACGTTCTCGGCATGTGCTCTTTCATCAACTGAAACTGAGGCGTAACACCAAACATGGTGCCTTTCGGGCGGCGGAAGAGAGGGCATTTTGCCACTTCTGCTACTTCCCATCGACGTGTCAACCCATCTAGTTAGTCTTTTATTGTGTTGACATGTTTTACCATGGTAGCTCGACGAGCTCGTTCCCGTTTCACAAGAGTTCACAGGTTTCAACAGAGTGAGACTCGTAAACCGGAACCAGTAAAGCAACGAAAGTGCAAAATGCCTCCCCCCCCCCCCCCCTTTGTCGCCAAACTGCACCCAACACATGCAACATTGTTAATAATAGCACAATTGCATAACACCGATCTCGTCCAGCAATCGAGACTGAATGGAAAAAAAAACGAGGAACTAGTTGGGAAAGGAGGGCTGGGAGGATTCTGGATGTGCAGCGAAAAAACAATTTTGCTCCTGATCTACACACCCTTGCTAGATGTCGTGCCTTACTTCTGCATAATCACAGGGGGACACCGAACACAAAAGTGTCTAAAATGGTAAGACATTGAGAAAAAAACTAAAAAAAGAATAGAGACAACCGGAAATCTTTGAATTTCCTAAAATGGCGGGAGTGAGTGCGGAATTCGTAATGGTGCGTGGTGCAATTGCATCCATTTAACCGTTCATTTCTTCTTTTATTTTCCCGAACTCGAGTTTTCTCAGGAATTGTGAAAACGGTAGCGATTAGTTTGACCTCTTCGGCGAATAAATGTGCCAGCCACGGTTCGCGATTATATCCTTTTGGCCAGACCCTGCACTACTTAAACAGCTACATAAAGCTGGAGAAGCCGGTTGATCTTATAAGCAACTGGTTCTACTGGTCTTAGGAGTGTAGTAAAGTCAAATCGCGGCGTACAAGTACTTTAACTGGTAGGTGGGAAGGACTTCTTTTCAAGTACTGATCTCTTTTGAAACGAGGACTGAAAAAGCTCCGTAAACACCGCCACCGTTAAGAAACACATTTCGAGATAGCAGACTGTGGGAAGTTTGGATCCACTACGGATTTATAGGTGCCAACTGACTATTATGAAGAAAAGAGCAAACGAAATAGTCCAAAACGCTATAACAAAGCTCTCCTTTTCACGGGTAATTTTGAGCTCTGGATGGGCATGCGGGGAGGCAAAGAGACACTGAGAACGTGGGAGAGAGACCAGACAAAGGATGAGAGAGCAGAAACACGGCAGACGCAACGATCTGACATGTTCTCACACAGATATTATCTTGACGCCGTTCATTTCTGCGTGGGGCGCCTTCTGGGCGGGGGAGGGGAGGGGGGGAGGGTGCTGCGGCGAACGACGGCATCATGGCTCTTGTTACTAACATCTACCCGTTGTGGTACAGATTCTGCAACTGGTGAAAAAACTATCCCTAGTGGCTGCTCCCATGTTTCAGCATATCGCGGAAAGTGTCCTTAAAGTCATCACCAACGCCAGGAGTCAAGCCCTTGCGCGGTGTCTCCGCCCACACCAGCAAACGCCCACATGAGCGCAATTACTGCAGGATATTAAGCTGAACTTCCGCGCCCTGGCAGTCACTGCACGCCGTGACGTTGGAGAAAAGTTTTCTCAATACACCCCCCCCCCATCTCCGCCAAAATTTCTTGCTTCAGTATAAGCCCTTCCTTCAACTGATCACCTTCCTAAATTTTCCCTATTTGTCCTACTTTTTCCTCGAAAACTCGATTCCCTCCCCCACCCCAAAAAAACTGGCTCCGAGCGAGGGAGAGGTCATACAGCGCACATGAAGCAGGAAAAATCGAGGAAAGTCCGCTAAGGAAAATATTTCCCTAGAAGGGAAATACGACCTACGGTAAGTCAAAGAGTTCTTACAATCCATACTGGAATTTGCGGAATGTGGTCTTTAAGTCAAGTAAAGGGCAGGCAGCTCTATAGTCGGGCAGTTAGTTTGGAAGTTCTTAACTATTTTGTGAAAGATAAAACTCGTATCGAGAAACGATGGAAAGAAAAAAATTTAGAAAACGAATGACAAGCAATGTACAAGAGATTAACACATAAGCCGAAAGAAACCCTACCAAAAGCTTCAGCACATGAAAGTTATCTATACAAGAAAAAAATCGACGAGATTAATAACGTGGAAAATATATGCATGTGCACAACCCGGAGCCAGTCAAGAACTTATTACAAATCAATATGCATATTTTAGATGTGCACCGTTGAAATTTGACAGCCAAAAGTCGAGATCACCGAAAATCAATTATAACCGACAAATATCATTGCATGAAGCTCACAAATCAATAGCAATCTATGACGAATGTATAAAAGCGGATCAATAATCCGTATATGTACACAGGAAGAGGACTGAAATCCATTTCAGTTAGCCCTTTAGCCGAGTCGAACCCTGACCAAGTCCTCATTGAGATACAACGATAAGGATTTCGAACTGAAATACGGTAAAGCTTTCCTGAAAAGGAATCGATTACCATGCCCCCTTAGTCGCCGGAATCGCGCCACGTCGATTCGTGGCACGATCATGAGTATGACCAAGAGTTTGGGTCAGAGTTCGAGCGAACTATAAACGCTTACAGAACGAAAACTAGTGGGATTCTAAGCCGATGGAAAAAATGAAAGGGAGATGAGATTGTGTTCACTGGACATAAGCTTGGTCCTGGTCAATGCTTCTTGAGAGATCGATCGATAGCTGTTTCGAAATCACTCCTTGTGGCAACGAAGACCTGAAAATTCTCCGAAAGTTAATTTTAAATCACAGCCATCGCGGAAAAACAATGATAATTTCTCCAAAATTACACCTTGTGGAAAATGGTGGACACCCAGGCGGGGCCCAAAAGACTCTCGCAATGGCGCCAGGGCACATCATTGGTTGGAGATTTTGGTCAAGTCTGTACGACCACCCCCCCCCCTTCTACCAATTTTCAGATTTTCCCCAACTTCCTGCCACTTTTTCTAAAATTTCCCGAAAAGTTCCCTACTTCCCCCAAAAATTTGCTGTCGAGGGAGGGGCGGCGGGGGTATATAGTGCGCATGAAACAGGAAAATCACAAAAAGTCAACCACCGCTCCTACAACGCCAAAACGTAAATACGACCTCCCCCATTCCAGCAATGACCAAGTACGACCTCCCCATTCCGCATGCCAGTATCGAGCGACAACCCCCCCTTACAGACGTCCGTGGAAGCGAAGCAAAAGTCGACTTCAAAATGATTTTTTCCCAGTTCGAAAATACGCCCCCCCCCTCTCCTGGCGGCCTAATACGACCTCCCCTATTAGGGATTCCCAACAACGATGTGCCCTGAATGGCGCGCATCACAAGAGCGGGTATTTGCAAAGTGACGTGTTGTAGGAAGAAAAACAGGATCAGCGAGTAAATGCAAACGTCTCGCAAATTTTTGGATGACGACACACCGGGAAACAATTTCGAGCATCACTGTTATCGTAGATAGCGGTTTCGCGAAGGGAAACTGAGTGGCTCATAATTTATTTTTTTCCTTTTTTTATCAAAATAAAAGCAACTTTTCGTGTTTTCGTTCTCTTCGTGGAATACGGGGCTTAGTTCATCCTTTCTGGGGGAAGTCACACAATTTTCATGAACCATGCGTTTAAGTTTTCAAACTATGAAGGGGAGTGTTCAGGCAAGAAACGATTTCGTGGTGAGTTTGAAAAGTATCGATGAAGATCAAATAATTGTGGGGCTTCTTATACTGAAGCTCGAAGAACGAAAAAAGTGATGCAGCGCTGATAAATCTCTTCCGGACGCGCCCTGCATTCGACTTGCATTCTAAAATTGTTACCACTGAAATGCTAATTTAGCCTCTACCGTGTCTTGCAGAAAGCAGACAGTGTTTACTTCAACAGTTCGCCCCAAACGAACCAAGCTTAGGACTACCTCCGACTGAACATCTTGATTATGCTATCTAGCTTTTATTGAGGACAAAATACCATCCGAAATGCCAGGTTTTTTTTTTGTTCTCGACAAACCCTTGAACCTTCCCAGCTATTAAATTGGAGGTGTATGCGAGTATTCAACTCCCTGCAGGGGTGAGAACTGGAATTTTTTTTGAGCACAAAAGGGTCAGATGAGTTCAGCCGCTGAGAAGCAACGGGCTTGCAGTCAGGGCACGCCATCGCGTTGTGATCATTTTCTGAAAATTACGACCCCCCTAATTCCATACTAAAATACGACCCCCTTTTTGGGAGTTGGTACGA